TGAAATCAACAATGTGAGAAGGAAATCACAGTATCACAGCATTTATAATGGTCCATATTATGGCTATTCATATTTTCTTTCTTTGATAATTAACCAGTATTTTATTCAATAATACAATAAAAGATTGTTTTCATGAATACAATCATATATTTCCGAGAAAAAAAATCATCTCAGGTAAGTGTATTTTTCCTTACCTGTCAGGCAGAGTCAGGTAGACAGCAGTATGTTTTTCCTATAGATTTTTGGGTCCCACTTTATATTAAGTGGCCTTAACTACTATGTACTTACATCAAAAATAAGTACAATGTACTTATTGTGTTCATATTGTATTGCAAAACACTTCTGCTGCTATTGAGGTGGGATACAGGTAAGGTTAGGGACAGGTTTAGTGGTATGGGTAGGTTTAAGGGTGGGTTAAGGTGTAAGGGATGGGTCAACAGTGTAATTATAAATGTAATTACAGAAATTAATTACAGATGTAATTACATGCAGATATATTTCAAATATAAGTACAATGTAAAAACATGTATGTACACGATAAGTGCATTGTACCAAATGATTAATTTAAATGTAAGTACATAGTAGGTAAGGCCACTTAATATAAAGTGGGACCGATTCTTGTTCTCTCTCAACAACGCTCTAACATGAAATGCAGACGCCAACGCTATCGCTAATAAAAAAAATATTTATGTGTTGGGTGTGGGTGCGGGCCGGATGGTGACAGGCAGCCAATCGCGCTGCCACTGATTGACAGCTGTAGTGATTATATTAAAGGGAGAGCTCTTTGCTTGCTTTCTGTATATAATTTATTCACAATTTAAATGAAAGTTTGAATAAATTAGTTTTGTCTACCTCATGTAGGAGATTTAATTTGGGAGATGTTCGGGTCACAGTTTTTATGTAAAACGGGTCAGGTATGGGATTAAATTAATGTTGCTGTCGGATAACATGTCGGGTGTTCTGTTAATTACTGCGGGTGTGGGAAGATCATTCCACCAGCCAGGAACTGTGAATTAAAATGTTCTGGAAAGTGATTTTGTGCCTCTCTGTGATGGTGCCATGAGGCGTCACTTACTTACAGATCTCAGGCTTCTGGAAGGAATGTAGACTCCTAAGAGTGAGTGGAAGTAGGCGGGTGCTGAGCCTGTTTTATATGCAAGTATCAATGTCTTGAACTTGATGCGAGCCGCAACCGGTAGCCAGTGCAGAAAGATAAAGAGATGAGTAATAAATGTCATTTAGATGTAATAATGTAATAAATAAATGATCAGATATGTCTTTCCCAAAATGTTATCTGTGATACATTGCATGTGTGAGTGAGTGTAAGGCTGCAGTGTAAGGCTTCTCCAGATGGATGTTGATGTCACCAAAGACTACAGGTGGACTGCCATCCCCAAAGAATGAGGACAACAGCCCATTCAGCTCCTCTATAAAGGTGCCCAGTTGACAAGGAAGGTGATAAATAGAGAAAGGGAAGTTGTTAGAGAGAATAGAAGGGGTTGTTGAGTCTTCTGAACGAATCCAGTCAAGCCCAAGATACTAAGAGTACACTGAGAAGCAATAGCCGGAATGAAGTCTGTTTGTTGACAGCATATATACTAGGGGTTGAACGACTTCTGATTTTTTAAAGTCGACTTTTATGTAATGAAAGTCGAGTCGAAGTCGACTAGTCGCTGATGATGTCATTAATGAACAAATAAGTCTGGAGCTGTGATAAACACCTTGTGCACAGCTACGGCATATGACACAGCACTGCCCACATGGCTATTGCTCCTATAACAGCTCATTTTTAACAGTTCTTTTGTCTTTGGGTCGTTATATTTCTCACAGATTTCTGCTCGTTCTAAATCAGATACAGAAAAAGCACAGTAAAGATTACATTCATATGAATGCATTGGTGAGAGCGATTGCGTGTGTGAATGAATTCTACCTGGCAGCGTCTCTCTACTAGTAGTGAAGCTGTGGGATTTAGTTATTAAGAAATATATGCTTGAACTTTTCAGTTTCTAAGCTATTTTATTGAGAAATCACAGAACAGTGCTGACAATACATTTCCGCGCTGAATGATACTGTGCACGCGTGATGTGTGCGTGATGTACGAGCTACTGTCTGTAATGTGCATGCGTTACAGTGCAGCAGCGCATTAGATTAGAACGGCGATGAACTTACCTGTACAATAAGCTGTTTAAAACGTGCATTCTCCCATTCAATTTCGAGCATCCAGTAATATAATCACACATGTCTTGTGGAGCGCTTTCAGAGTATGCATTTATTTGT